GTAAGTAGTGTGTGTGTGTGTGTGTGTGTGTGTGTGTGTGTGTGTGTGTGTTAATTTAATTTAACAGAGGCTCGGGCTGTCAACCCCGCGCCTGGTGGGGATCGGCTGTCAGCTGGAGCTCCACACCAGGCCTGGGGCTGACAGCTCGCGACCCCCACGTAATCACCTCACGACCCCTGTGTCACAACCCTCAGATTGAGAACTTCTGTTCCAGTGGGTATATCACCCTCAGTGTTAAAAATGTACACCTTAATTCCAGTCTGAATTTGTCTAGCTTCAACTTCCAGACATTGGATCTTGTTGGTAACTACAGCATGTGTAGTGCAGTTTAATTAAAGTCTCTTAAGGACATTGTTGTCTGAGGAGTGAAAGGGAGCTATTTTTAATTTACTTTAATGTCAATCTAATCCCAGTCTATTTTATTTATGTATTTATTTGTTTGTTTATAATGTGTGTTGCAATAGTGCCTAGGAGCACCAATCAAGAATCAAGGCCCTATTGTGGTGAGGACTGCACAGGCATACAGGAAAAAGACAGTCCCTTCCCAAAGAGCTCACAGTCTAGGTACCGACAAGATGCATGGGATCAGACAAACAGATAGTATTTCTGTGCATCCATAGTATCAGAGTGCATAGTACTGAGAATACAATACTTGGAATAAGTAATCTGAAATCTCAGTATTTGCAATACTAGTGAAATTTTCATATGTGACTATCATGAGAAACAGTGCAACAACAAGCAGATTGGAACTCCAGTTGTCATAGAAGGATTGAAATGTGTTCCGAAAGTAAACTTCTGTAGTTCAACATACCCTTTAGGGAAAAAAGCATGCTGTGCTTTCTTAATTTTGTAAACGCATTTGACTCTGTGCATTTTGGAGCTATGGTGATGAGAGAGTTTCACTTGGAAAGTATTGCTTGCTCTGAATCCCATGTCACCTTATAGCTTGATCGTCATTAGACTCATGCTGATAACAAGGAAACAAAGGAATAACTTATTCAGTGTGATGTGTTCTATACAAAAGGCCTCTTATGCCTGGCTGGATACCAGCATTGTTGTGCAAAATGTGGGTTTAATTTCAAACAATTGAATGTGCCCCATGTGTGATGAAAGTTTTTCAGTTTGTTTAAATTTATTGTGACATTCTCAAAACCTGCTTAATTGTTGTGGGTTTTTTTTTAAAACCTGCTGGAGTGAATCAGCGTTAAGGATTCTGTAAATGATCTTACTCCTTTCAGAATGAAAAATTAAAGGTTTCCTTAGGTAGTTTATATTCTGTTTTTTTTTATGCAACACCTAATTAACCAATGGAACTTATTGCTAGAAAATACCATTGAAGCCAAAGCTTACAGGATTCAGGAAAGGTTTAGTTTACACTGGCTAAATTAAAACAAAATGTATGTAGTTGGGTGGGGTTAAATACCCTCATGCTTTAGAGTGTAAGTAATCTTTTAACCTCATGGGTAGTTTTTCCATATCTTTCTAGATGGGGTTCCCCAGAGTTTCCTCTAGAATTACTGGTATTGGCAAGTTTCAGAGTAGCAGCCATGTTAGTCTGTATCCGCAAAAAGAACAGGAGTACTTGTGGCACCTTAGAGACTAACAAATTTATTAGAGCATAAGCTTTCGTGGACTACAGCCCACCTCTTCCGGTGCATAAGAAAGGGGGTGGAGGGCATGGAAAGCTATGCTCTTCTAAAATTTTTTTT